GTACCCACTCGGATACCAGCTACAAGGTCAAGGTTTGGCCGTACACACTGACCTGGCGAGTTTGGCGTTCGGTGATGGCGACGGCGGCTCTCGTGCGAGTCAACGATCGGCCACTGCAGTTGGCCTCACGTCTCTCAGCACGGGCGTGCGGGCTCGGCCACCACTTCGCGTGGCTACACTCAGTCAGGTTCGGCACTCAGTTCGAGGCACATACCAGAAATTTAAATTTCCGAATCTCACAATTTCTTAAGTACTCCGACGAAAACAAGGGTTTGACAACAACAATTTCCCAAAAGGGATCAAACATTGGCATCACTGCCAGGAAAAAGATCTAACTCGGCAGTCGACGCCGAACAACAGAATGGTTAGCTCGTTTGACTCTATCGACTAACAGTGTCGTCCGTCACGTCAGCTTTTACTCAGGTAGCTATTCGTGCCGGTAGTCCTAAACGAGTTCATCCACGTGCATAACCTATAGCTTCCACACTTCGAGGTCTAGCGTGAAGCCTCTCTCGCAAGTGTTTCCAGCTAACATTATATTACTAATCAGATTAAGTCACATAAAGCACATATACATGAAAATTGACGAAAATCTAATTTTGAAATTCAGAACTCAATTTGGAAACCTAAACATGAACTTGCACCAATTTCCAGCATGCGTGATGAATTTAAAATGCATGTAGTTTTTAGTATAGATATCGTATCATGATGAAACCACTTGAAAAATATCCCTAACTCAGGCTTCTATCACTTTCATGAAGAACACTCAGGCAGATAAAATCATTTAGATGCACATAATAGAGCAAACATACAAACCATAGGTGCAGTGGATAAATGAAGACATACAGTTGACAGGTTCTCCGTGTATGCACATTAACCGAAGCTACAAACATTATAATACTGAAATTCTAAATCTCTAAGATAGTTAACTCAATTATCTACAACTTTCATGTTGATCACCTAAGCCAAAAATAACTTTAAAGCCGAGTTTAAGCATAAAACACTTAGGTCAAGAAATCTGTCAACGAAACTATTTATAAATTACAGCAAGTCACTAAATCAGGAATATCTCATGCCACAAAACTTCGAATCATGCAAACTGAAAACCTACAGAAACTATCCTTGAATTGCTACAAGTTCCAAGAAAGGAATCTTTACAAATAATCACGTTCAGGGCCTCATTTCAGAGCATACATTTTAATCGTAAACACAGCCACCATTTTAAAAATTCTGGGCATAACTGCAACTTTGAAAAATCATATAAAATCAACTAAAACACCAATTTACAAGATTTCAACTTTCAGAGAAACTTTATAACATGTACTACAAGTTTCATGTTGATTATATTTTCACATAGTCACATTAACATTGCCAAAAACAACCCAACATTATGATTTACAATTCTGCCCGGGATTTCAAAAACTGCTTGCAGTTTCAACTAAAAAAAATTCATAATAAATTCAATTCAACTCCGAATCATGAAATTTCAAAACTCATAGAAATCTAACTCAAATCACTACAAAATTTATGCAGAACTCTTAACCAGCAAGCAACTTTTAGGTCACGATAATCTGAGCACAAACAGAG